ATAAATTTTAAAGCCGTAAGAACTAATCTTTTTTATGCATTTCAGTTGCGCGATGGACTGAAAATCGGCTGCCAAATAGAATACAAAGATGAACGGTGTCGCTTAGCAATTTTTACTGAAATTTTGTTGAGTGAACTATAAACAAAAAATCGCACGATCTTCTCGTACAATTTGGAATTACACTCGTAATGTTTTGAAAGTTCCTTAATTGCACTCGCCTAAAGGCTCGTGTCTATTAATTTCCAAATTGTACTCGAGATCGTGCGATTTCCTATACAAATTGTACAAATTAGTGCAAAGCTTTTTAGGACTACGTACGTTCTACTRAGGTCTACTGAACTTACGTTGAGTTTTTCAYAAATATATGGTATGCACTGYATTTTCGAAAGTCACTGTTACAAAAAACGAAAGTTATTTATGCGAAAACAATAGTCGTTGTTGTCTAGAAAAGTTCGTCATTTATCAGGCACTAAGGTGCTAGATAGCTGGTATTTGGGCCACCCATTCCCATCAGAGGCAATAGACCTATAGCAATACGAGATACAATAAGTAGCATTGCCAGATAAAAATAAATCCATTATCATGAATTGACCTAATTCACTATGACGTCACTACTTGTTTATGTGGGGGATAGAATCGCCAAATCCAATAGAAAATTCAACAAAATTTGCTCCTAGCGAAACAGTTTAATCTAAAATGGCCTGGTTTTCAGATATAATATGTGTTAATATGTACTGAAAAATATTCTGAGAGTTTGCTGGCTATTCTACTTCTCTTCGTGGATTGATACGGGTTTTAGAACAATTTTCGGTGAATTTGCGTTGATTTGACCCCCCCCCCCGACGACCATGATCCTTTGCGTTTAAACAATAGATTGTTGAAGATTGTTTTAATGTGACGTCATAGTGAATTAGGGCAATAAGCMTTTTCATAGTTTAAGAATCGATTCCACTGCGCATGCGATTTTATCCCGAATTTCTCACCTTTTTTGTCTAAACCTTCATTTGTTCTTAAATAAACAAAAGGAGGTGAGAAATTCGGGATAAAATCGCATGCGCAGTGGAATCGATTCTTAAACTATGAAAATGCTTATTAAGCATTGATATACACTTATTTCAATAAAGTTAGTCACCCGAAAAGCTACACAGCTGAGACCGACAAGGATTATGGGTAGATACATTTCACATGTTTCAACCGCTTGATAACTGYTGATGGACTCGAGATCTTYTACCAGTTAAAAGTTCACCTCCTCTGAGCATCYTCAACTGCTRCAGTTTGTKTYAAAAGCTTYACTTGTTGAATATRRAATATTTCCCATGATTCTCAGCGATCACAGCTTTCTAKGTTTTTGGTGACCAACTTTATTGAAATAAGTATATWTGTAAAGGCGATAGACGATAGGTCATTCCACCGATCCACGGATTGGAATGACYGGTTTTCAGTTTTTAATTAATAATGCCGTCAAAAACACGCAGGTTTGTCGGGGTTGTATCGCAGGTTATCCGAGTTGTATCGTGAATGCGAGGGCAACATGAAAAATATCACTTTTTTAGGCTTCGATWATTTCGGTTTAGTCAGTTGTGTGTYCTCGATTCCATTCGGTCTTGGAATGATCTTCGCCTATCGCTTATCTTCTTTGAGTCCRACAGCCTTTCTTGAAATAGTCGTACACTGCTCATTTGGTCTGTTCATGTACTCAAATGTCGCACTACCTAACGTAAGCTTTGACAGTAGATCTTACCAACATCTGTTTAAGTTCACCTACCTTCATCAAGTAATGCTATTACATCAGCATAATAACTTTCCATTCCAACGAATGTAGTTCTTCCTTTATCGCATTCCACTTTCCCTTTACCAGAAAAACAGAGAAACAAGCTCTGTATTTTAATCTGTGTGTTTAGTACGAGACCCACATCGCCGGTTATCGTATCGCCTGTYGTATAAACCTGCTCTGGAGGTGCGAGATTAATCGTGAAGCTTTCAATCGCCATCAATGGACTTTTCAGCGTCGTATTTTCCTTTTTCGGCGCTGAGACGAGATATTTATTTACTGTTCTTTTAGTTCTCGATAAATTCGTTAGCGAAGATATCCAGAACAGATTTCCTTAATATTTTATGACTAGATATTYGTATTCCTAAGTATTATAGTTTTAAAAGCGTGTTTATTGTCTGCGTGGAATAATACTTTCAGAGRATATCAGTGYGCTCAAACCGCATTTTGGTTGATGRCATATTTAGATAAAGCCATTCTGAAAGGGTTGTGGTGAAATGACGTGTTCAGCCTGCTCTGATCAACCTGCTGCATGCTRAATGTTACTTAGAAGGACGACAAATGACAGACGAAAACCTCTGCCAAGCAGGGTATTTACAGACTGACCTCAAAAACCACAATGTGACTAA